ACAAAGGGTTCTGGACTGAATGGTAGCAAGCATTGTCCGAGTTCAATGTCCTCTTAATTTCATTCTCAATCAGGTTTGATTTGTTATAGTCGTTCCCAAATACCCGAACTGTGTCACAGTTTCAAAACATCTGTTTGCTATTTTAATGTCATGATTTTGCCCTGCATTACTTCTAGAATAACCTTCTTACTTGTGCCAATTAAAGTTTATATTTTTCTTTATGATATCTACATTATCACCCAGTAGATTCACATCATTAGCAAAGGCCAACAGCTGATGTATCCCATTTAATTTCAGTCTCGTCTGGTTTCCCTGGACCTTCCTGATGGCATATTCTAAAGCAAGGTTGAAAAGGAGTGGCGATAAAGCATCTCCTTCTTTAGATCATTCTGGAAAGGAAAATTGTGAGACAAATGCTTACCTGTACTGGCTTTACTATACGTTTCGTTTAAACACATTTTAATCAGCCTAACTAGTTCCAAGGGTACCCCAAACTCTATCAGAATACTGTACAAAAATTCCTTCCTAACTCCAATTTTATCTCAAGTATCTGATGAATTACGTTTTTACCTTACGGACAAAAACTAATTTCGCCGAATATTTTCCATTATGGATCACCAATACCAAATTTAATCGAAATCTGTCAAGTAATTTCGGAAATTAAACATACAGGTGTTCATTTCATTAAGTACATGAAGTCCTGTCCACTGGTTCGCCTTGCCGCACATTTCACTTCAAGAGCTGCTGTGCCCATTCTGATGAAACTTGACATCGAAATGTTTTACTAAAGGCACCAGTGTCTAGAAGATTCAAAGATTCAGAAATATATAAGATTTCAAGTTCTCAGGGCGGTGGTTATGAAGAGTTCTATTTTCTGGGATAGGACGCTTTGCAGTCCATTGAAATTCAACCGACGTTTCAGGGAAATATATTGCCTCCGTCACCAAGGTCAAAAAGCTCCACTTGCTACCCGTTTGATGTTAATTTCTTTTATTGTTTTTTCTTTGACCCTGTAGACGAGACATCCCTCCGATACGTCTGTTTACTTTCAACGAATTACACGGCATTATATCACAGGAAGAATCTTCATTTAGAAATATAATTCAAAATTTTAACAGATCAAGCTCATCTGTGTGAAGTACAGGAAGAAGAAAAATAACTACTGTGAAATATCAACCAGTAAAAATTGTGATTAAAACCATAAAATAATGAGACAACTTCGCACGAGGTTCTACAAGCGTTTTAAAACCAATTTGCTGTCTTCTGAACCCTCAGTGGGACGAAATGTTAACGGACGACAAATAGACACGTAACTGTAAATCAAACATTTTTTTCATTGTAAACACGCAGTTTCAGGTACATTTAAGAAAAGAACTGTAGGCCGGTACTTCGAATTATGTGTTTAAAATTATGGATTACTTATTTTTGTGTCCTTTTCAATTTATTTTCGGTTCTTTAGAGCGAACTTACCGGGAAGTTTTGCCTGTCCGTATATTTATATCTCCGATATTTATTAACGGATTTCCATGAAATTTGGTATTGGGTGTTTACATCAAAGTTGTTGGTAAATCTATCCCTGTGACAAGCCATGGAGGACCATATGGTTGTGAGACGTTAAGGGTCCCACATTATCTAGACAGTCGGCACACAGATGGCGGCAAGTTTGTCAGCCTTACGTGCTTGCCTCCCTTTATCCCCAGGGAGATTCCTGATACTCATTTCTGTTAGAGGCTTACTCGACCCCAGGGCCATATTCTGGCTGGAGGGATTAGGTCAACTGAAAACACCCACCTCATCGGGAATCGAACCCGCGACCTTCCGGCTTCTGACATAGTGCCATAACCAACTACGCTACCGCGATCCCCCATCAAAGTTGTCGGTGAAATGTAATTTTTACTAGTGTCGATTCGTTTTAACCTCCTTGTCCAATGTACATGATTTTCAAACATCCAAATTCTTTGATTTTGACAAAAGTATGTTAGACCTATTGTTAAGAAAAGATATTTGAAAGGTATATATTCTACGAAGACCAAGTTTTATTTGAAAATGTTTTGATATATTGTATATTGAACGAAGTACAAAGGGAGATGTGTGATACTTTGCAGAGTGCCCTCTGCGAGGTACTGAATATGAAGCTCGCATTAATATATATTCAGCAGTGTTTACTCTTAGAGCTGAATATTTCCTGTCTTCTCTAGGTCAATTCTGTTATATTCACACCATAAGAAACACACAAATTCCATTATAGGCGAATGGTACTACAAATAGGAAACCTTCAGCCTGCTTAAGCCAAATTTACTGTTTGGAAAAGTAATTTAATTGAACGAAACTGGATGTGTTTTGTCTTCAGTTAAGGTGGGGAACCCACCTACTAATGTGGGCCCCTTAATTGAGGCTAGTTCTTTCTAAGGGGCCCAAGTGATTAGGTGTTTTCCCCCTCGCCTGAGGATGGAAACATATCAAGTTTCCGAAACGTTGTGTTTTCTATTTTCTAGCATACCGGACGACGGAAAAGTCCAAAACCAAATAATTTTGGAATTTATTGCTTTTGGAATGTGTCATTAGTTCTTCCTCGCTTTCGATGTTGTCCCATGCATTTCTGTACAGTTAAATAACTCATAGTAAGCAAGAATGAGAGCCATTGTTTAATTATGTAAACACTGCATTAGAAGAGAACGGGCTGCATGGACCTAATCCATTACATAGGTTATACTGGCGGCACAAACCGAGCATATTCGATTATTCAATTTTCTAAAATACCAGACAATAGAAGAAGTTCAAAATCCCAGTAATTCTCTGTGTTGTACATCATCGTCAGAACATTTCACAATCTAATGAACTCTGAGGTTTAAGAGGCAGGAGTCCATACAGAAATAAAAGTAAAGCTATCTCTGTGCCTAACTAATTAAGCACTGCGCCATGAAGAGGTATGGGGGAGTGGATGTATAGATCCACATTTTCTTGAACCCGGCTGCTTTACCCCCTGGGAAGGTAGCCCGTACACTTTGGATAGGAGGGTGGTGGACCCCGGATTCGGTGAAGCGGTGAAGAGACAATTCTTGACCCTACCTGGACTCGAACTCCAACACCTCGGTCGTCCAGGTTGCAACCAGTCGCTATACCGACTATTCCGGCTCACACAAGAAATAACAACGTAAAAAATAATATTATGAATAAATAATTTATATTATACAGAATGATTGTAATCTTTATAAAATATTACAAAAGTTGTGAACTCAAGGTGGATTAGATCGATGTTAAATTTAGATCACATGGGACAGTTGAGAAATGTACAAAATGTTAACAGTAAACCCCGTAGGGAAGAGAAAACTTGAGAGATTTGTACATGGCAGAGTGCTATTGCAGTAAATCTTAAAGGAACAGATTGCGAATGAGTGAGCCCTGTTGTTTTGGATAAAGATACGGACCAGTATCGGAGTCATGTGAACACGCAATGGATTTTCGGTTACCATAATGGGCGACAAATTTCTTGGCATTTTGGATGACTATCAGATCCATAGCGGGGAATCTGCTCCAAGTTGTTAACTTTCATTAATACAGCACGGAAAGGAGTTGTTCATTATTACCCCTTCAAAGATGTGAAGTACATACGTATTACACATGTGTAGGAGAAGTTGCCGCATCTATAAGGCGCTCTTACAGTTTTAAACTATACCCCATCAGCGTATAACGCTTGCTACAGAGACTGGAAAACAACTAACAGCGGGTTTTATGCGACCAACAACAAATCTCTCTCCGTCAATTAGAGCTCTGTAAATAACCCGTAGCAATTACAGATCCATTTATTTTCTTTTTAAATAAAACCTTCATGTTAAACCGTAATATTAAATGGTTAACCCGACACGAAGAAGGGCACACAAAGATCAAGGCGCAAGTGCAGTGCAGAAGCGGCAAATTTATCACACCCGAGAAACAGTAGGTGAGCGCGAATGCACAAAATGCATCTTGTTTTATACACAAGTTACCGCACCCTACTTCACGGGCCGGAATTTGGTTTCATGGAGTCGCACTCCGCTTGCGGCTGAAATTCACCCCCCGGTCATTAAAATGCAACAATATAAAAAAGATAGAATTGAGACGGGACGTGCTGTTACAGTGACGCCTTTATTGAAAGCGAGATTGACATTTGCAGCTGTTGGTAGTCAGTAACAGGTTTTGAAGAAAGCATCTTCTGGAATGTATCCCCTCCATCTTCTACCCTGAAGATGGAGGCGATACGTTCCTCCGAAACGTCGGTTAACACCACATCTACACGGTGCCACATCCCAGAAGACTGCTTTCTTCATAGTCACCGCCATGAAATCCTCAAATCTTACACAGTAAAAGGTTTTGTTGTAAGTGACTCAGAATCCCTTGACTGTGATGAGATGGTGCAGGTATTTCATTTTTAATGTATCCAAATAATTGTTCCGTAAGACGAGCATTCAGAAGCAGCAAAAATAAACAGAGGGCGCGGTGTGTTTAAGAAACTATGCGGAGAGTATTATTCTTTCCCGGATTTGCGGGGGGGGGGGCATACTTTACGGTGACACGGTATAAGTTTTTAAGATTTTAAATCTTAGTTTCCAGACATGAAACACAATGCCTCAGTTTATCTCCGGATACAAGGATAAGGAAAACTAAAGAGTTGGTGTTGGTTTGGATTATTCAGCTAAAACTGATGGTCCTGAGGCAGAAAAATATGGTCATGGATCCCCGAAGGGCCTGAAATCAAGAATGACTTTGTTCGCGAAGACCCGCTGTAATTTACCCCAAGCGAGGGGTAACTTATAGAATGGCAACGGACTAAGTTCTTATTCGTAAAATCTGCCATTTCTTTCTCAACTAACGGCGATACACAAATCTGAAACACGAGACATCCTATTCAACTGCCAGCATATAAATCGAATTGGACATGCCTGTGCCGTTAATTGAAATGACCGAAGCAAATCGACTGAGAAGAGAACAGCAAGAGCAAAGAGAGTGATGATGGTACTCACAGGAACTCCTCTCTGGTCTTAGTGCGGATGGGGTAGTGGGGAGTTGCCCGCGCCTCTTCAGGTTCCGAGCACGTCAGGTTCTCCACACTCAGCACCGACCGAAACCCTGACTCCGGAGTGGACGCCGGGCTCAATCCCACCCCCTGCGTCTTCCCGTCACAATCCTGCAAATACATGAACATATGCAGGATGTGTCTTTAGGTTAGGAATACCGGAAGTTAGTTGTAGGCCTGTTAAGTGCCGTAAGAATCCAAGCGGGATAAAATTCTACGGCCGTAACATTTAAAGATATTTATTTATAAAGCTGAGACACTAATAACGAAACTACGAGTGCTTAAAAGGGCAGTATTCGAACAGAAGAAAATATTTGTGCCCAGGAAGGATGGAGTGAACAATGCAGAATATTGCCACGTGTAGGGATGACTATAGTCGGGTTCCGGCTTCGATGATTGGATTTATTGCGCTTTATGTATTCACAGCTCAGAACTACAGGCAATTACAGCGCTATCGCTGATTTACAAACTTTACAGTTCATCGTTACACATGCACTAGGGTACTCAGTCATCACTAGTCGTATCCTGACAACGGATTTATAAGTCTCACTGTAACTTCAATCCACATACGAAGTCTTATTTTCACCGTCTATTTCATTTCAGCCAATATTCTGCGAATGCCAATTATGAGAACTCGACTGAATTCAATTCCTCTGCTCCCAAGCTCATATCCTGGCAGGCTGGCGTCTCGAAACTCGACTCTTTACTTCTGACTGCTATTCTAAGTCAAAGTCAAAGTCACATTGCGACTGACGGTCAGTCAGTCAGTCTTGGTGTCGAGCTTATGACCAGATATTTATTACTGTTTGACAGTTACGGTCTTGTTATTGTGGGGCGCCCTCTCTGACGAGAGGATGGGTCTGTCTTTTGTATATGCTGCTGGCCCTTGCCAGCGCAGTCTTTCTCGGGTCTGAGTCCCTAATCTATATTGCTGAACATTTCTTTATAACTATCTTCTATGGGCCACGCAGAAAACGCAGCCTCTATTGTTAAGGCGTGTTGACTGGTCCGTTGCCTAGAAATGGACGTCTTATTGCGCGCGTACGCTTGCGCGGGAATGTGTTTACCAAGTCGTTGCTTAACAATGGGTCTCTTTGTCACAATATTATAACGGCCTAGCTTTTAACTTGGTGCTTCATGTTGGTCATATAATATTATTGAAATCGTCGTGTATAAAAAACTGATTCGAATGGGGCTTAACAGTGGAGACACAGAATTTTGGCGATGAAGAATCTTGAAAACTGTAGTTTGGAAGAAAAGTGGAAGATAAGTTGAGATGGATGTTAGACAAATAAGTTGAGTTGATGTTGGATATTTGGAACGTGTTCGCCGTTGAATTTATAGGCAGGCTTTGTTATCTGTATCTTGAGGATCTGTTGCGAGGATTTGCTTGGTACATCACGTACGCATAATTCGAGTCTGTTTCTGGAGATAATGAATGTATGGATGAAGATGGTGGTGGAACCAGTTCGGAAGGACTGGGATCTACACACACACACACACACACACACAGTACGATAATGTAATGAGGCCAGCAACTGGTAGTTTGGAGAAAAAGTAACTCAATGAACATCAAGATGACTGCTGCAAGTGTCTCCCTGACGCCTTTCCAATAGCGGAGGCGAAAGGAACACAGACGTGGCAAAGAGGCCAAATGTTGCTCATACAGAAACCTGGTAAAGTGTGCTTTCAGATAAGTACAATTTTTATTTGATTGGTCTCTGGTGAAGAAATGCAGGAATTCCTAGTAGAATACAAGACAAGACAGGAGAATATATTGCTATGTATTTACTTCACGGCTAATATTTTTCTCTTTAATAAATCAAGAAGATCTATGAAGAATTAATGACATTTGTAATTTCCTATAAACGCTTCAGTCCGTGTGCACGTCTGAATTCGCAACAATTTTATAGAAATAATTATACAATTTCCTGACACTTCTATGTCATGATTGCCACTAATGATGATTCCAAAAAGATTAAACTTGTGGGGTGCAGTCTAGAAAGTTCCTATTGTGGCCATTTTTTTACTAGTTAGTGCACAAATAATATTTTCAGTAGAATCTGTAGTGACTATGTTATCCTAATTTAAACCTGAATGATTTGGACGAAGTTGCATCGCAGTCAGCTCTTGTATTCTCGAAATTGTTCATTGCTGAGATTTTAATCTAAAAGGCAACTTTTCGGAAGCAGATCCTGCATCTGTCTGCATCACTTTGAAATTCTGTATGCGCCCGGATGAAGTTCAAATAAAAAACTCACAACAGAAGGCGGACAAAATTAACATATGCTACGTGTACATACATACATACAATTATACACACGAACTTAATATGTATTTCCGTCTTCAAGCAAATGTAGTAGAGAGCATGTCCTAAACTGTTGGGTCGCATTCCCACACTGAGAGTGACCATTGCTTGAAGATACAGTGTGAAAGAATTCAAGTCATTTATACTTTTCCAAAGACCTTGCTGAATTATTGAGGTGGAATTCAGCAATAGTTCTGTCTTATGTATGTTCCTGAAAATCTACCTACCTACTCATGGCTCTACAGCCGCTTTTTGGAATTTGGCAGCTTTTTCAGTTTCTTGGTCTTCTACACAGACGGTAGGACTCCTTGGACGGGAGATTAGCTCGTCGCAAGGCCTCTGTCTACACAAACACAGAATAAACGCACACAGACATCCACGCCTCAAGCGAGATTCGAACCCACTATCGAAGTGTTTGAGTGGGCGAATACAGTTCATGCCTTAGTCAGCGCGGCCATTTTGATCGGCCCTGAAAATGTTAGCTATGAGTTATTTCTAAACATTGTTTGACCATGTATGCAGTGATTCACCTACTCACAGCCTTACTGAAATGAACTGAACATATCTCTTTATCGCGGTTTATGTCAAGTTACTCGCAGTGTCTGGACAGTACTCGCCGAAAGGTAGAATGATTGTTGAATTGAAAAGAAGTTGGAAGAAAATGGTCGTGGATTAACCGTGGTTATCTCTGGGCATTTCCATGGAGGGAGTGAGAAAAACAAAGACGTAACTTCAATCACGATGCCAAGGGCCATGGCCTATATCCTAACATAACATATCCCGAATACAAGTCTGGATGTTGCATTGCATTATGTTAGGCATGTTCTGTGCGAGATGAAAGGCAACAACATGGCGGACACGCAGGCAGTTCTTAATCTGACAAGTCACAGATTACTACGTGATCTCCACGACCTACAAAGAACGCCGCATATGGAAAGCATATTTCTCCATGCTTTTGTCTATCTGTCCACCTGCGTTTTGATTATGTGACAGCGCTTAAGCATTAGACATATTCTTCTAAATTCACTAATATTCACTAAACATTGTCGGGCAATTCCTAATATCAGCCACATTGGAGCATGTTTATAGTCCACTTGAGGCCAGAAAGATTGCACTCCGGCATGGTGTAGGAGTCCAGGCTTTCCGATATTCCTGCTCCTACAATAGCACCGATACTTCATGGCACTTCCGCGTGTTGAAAGGCACAAGATGGCTGCTCTCCTACCTTGGATATGGGCGGCAAGGAAGTCTCGGAGCCCGGCCGCAGCAGGAAGTTGCCAAGTGACGTGATGTTTACGTTGCCCAGCCGACTCACCATAAAGCTTCCGATGCGGCCGTACCGCGGGGTGCGGGGCTCGGGGGGCGGCTCCTGCTGTAACAGAGCGAGAACCTCTCAAAGTAGCAAGAAAGCGAGGGGGAATAGCTTTATGCTTTTGCATCATCATCATCATCATCATCATCATCATCATCACGATTTTAGTGTTGCGGTCATTATCACCGATATTAATAAACCCCGTCCAAGGAGTCCTACCGAATGTGTTTAGATCAAGAAACCGAAAAAGCGACCAAGGTTCAACAAAGGACTGTTGAACCATAGACAGACAGATTTGTCAGAGTTGGTGGAATAAAACAGACTTCGTGGTTTTAGTCCGCAGGCGAACTATACCGACGGAGCGACCGCCGCTTGTCTGCGAAATTAGTGCCAACTTCAGCGGATAGAGGATGTCGTGTTGTCAGCGCAACGAATCCCCACGGCCTTTAATTTCGATTTTCTTGACCGGAGCCGCTATTTCCTTGAAATGGTTCCTCAATTACTTTCGCAAGGCTGAGTGGACCCCGTTACAGACTCACTACTTCTCAGAAAATCTGGTAGCGCCTAGAATCGAACCCGGACCTCTCGATCTGTAACCATGAACTCTGACCACTAGACCAGAGAGGCGGTCCGTAGTTGGTGTAATAATTAATAGAAATGATAGAATGGTTCGTATTGGAGATAGACCTGCATGTAATTTCAAGAAGAAAATGTTTTTACTGGAACTACCAATTGAAGATTGTATTTATCCAGTTCTCCTTATAGCTAATTATTTAAGGTGAAAGAGTTTGTCGTGTTTCTTTGTTTGATGACGAAGTAGGCGTGACTCATGGGAGTCTCATTTGGAAGTCGTCATTAGTTCATGTCGCTTTATTGTGACACATAAACACAGCAATACTCGGCGTATGCATTTAAACACGAGACACAAACGTTAAGAAAAGAAGCGACTGATACCAATCGCTCTATCCCAGGCTGCAGGTGCTTTGGCACAGACATCGTTGTGAATGCTGGACAGCAGCACATGGATGGCCTAGATTCGAAGGCACGGAAAAATATTGCGCAACGCGCAACTATAAACGATCATGGATAATGAAATGAACCCTTGAGTTATGCAGCCCACCTGTCAGTTTCAGAATTGCATGTCACACAGGCGTAGGACTAACTACAAATGGGAGGGCAGCAAATATTATTTTCATTTTCTTATCGTATCTATCTCTCTGGTTTAAAAGTTTTCAACCGTCACACACTGTTTGCTCACTTTTACTTCCTCTCTTAGGCCGCGCCATAGCTCAAGCGGTTAGTCGCTAGCTTTCCACCGCGGCGGCCCGGCTTCGATCCCGGGTCTGGTCAAGTGGGATTTGTGGTGGACAAAGTGGCGCTGGGGCAGGTTTCCTCCGAGTACTTCGGTTTCCCCTGCCAATCTTCATTCCATCAATTGCTCCACAATCACCCTCATCTATCATCTGGGGCTGGTACCATAGGTCAGAAGTGGCCGCAGTACAAGGGACTTAGTCCCACTCCAATAGCAATAAAAAATACTTCCTCTCTTATTTTATTCATTTCAATGTTTATTCATACAGTTTTAAAGTTCTTAAAATAAAATTTCCAAAATGAAATATTCGCCATGTACAAGCTGCACACAACTTGTACTAAACAACACAGATATTTTGTCGTAACATTAAAATCCTCATGACAAATTTTGCGAGAATTTTGCCTTTATCCGGTTTTTGCGCCAAGCTTTTCACTTTCCAGAACACTGCTGGCGGGCGAGTCTAAAAAATATTAGTGTATAAAGAGGCATTATTAGACAGTCTGATGTAAGAAAAGCTGTAGATTTAATAGTTTTGAAAAGGGTGGTGGCCAGTGACTTTTAGATTCGTCATGCAACAACCATTTTAATCATTCAATAGTGTCATTTTATTGGCGTGTGTAATGAGCGTCCCGCTTTTAAGTGTAGGGTCCTAAGTTCTCTGAATTATAACCCTAACTTCCATTACCCGCCACCACATTCGAAATTAACTTTGGTGCCTACCCAGTGGATAACAGTTACTGTTACTATAATTATGGAATTATTATTATTACTATTATTATAAGAAGCCGAGATAGCGCAGTCGGTACAGCGACTGGCCACGGGCTGAACGACCGAGGGGTGACAGTTTGAGTCTCGTTAGTGGCAAGAATTTTCTTTCCTCCATATCTTTCAGACCGGTTCTGGGGTCCACCCATGTTCCTATGGTTACCGGGGGTAAAACGGCCGGGAAGTGAAGCTAACCACTCACCTCAAACTAAGGCTGACGTGAAGACAACATGGGTCTATACCTTCCCTCTCCATACGGCTTCATGGCCTAGTGCTTAATTTGTTAAGCATAGAGAAAAATATTACCTTGTTTACTATTATTATTATTACTATCATCATCTCTTGTCACAGGTTTATTTCCTGGTATTCCTTTTCTTGAACCAGTGATGCACCTCACCACTCAGGCTTCAAGCTTCGCACTGTAGCACTTTCCGTAGTATGTGTGATGTTCCCAGGATAGCTGTTTTTTGCAGTGAATCTATGGAGTGCTTTCCAGGAATTAGTTCCAAATATTTTCTCAACCCTCTCGTAACTGTACCCGTGGCTCCAATAATTACTGGTATCACAAAACATTTCATGTTCCACATTCGCTGAATTTCGATGCTTAAATTTTTATATTTTAATTTTTTCTCTGCTTCTTTTTGTACTACATTTCTGTCTGATGGTACTGATACATCTATAAGTATGCAAGTTTTCTTTTGTTTGTTTTTAATTATTATGTCTGGCCTGTTTGCCAGAACCTCTCTGTCTGTTTGTACACCTTGGTTCCATAACACCGTTATATCCTCATGTTCACATATTATTATTATTATTATTATTATTATTATTATTATTATTATTGTATAGATTGTCTTGTTCTTGTATTATGTTTGTGTGTGTTTTGTTTCATCATTTACTCATACCTACCTCTTTGTAACTCGCCTCTGGACTGTAAAGTTTGCCCGTAATTAAATAAGAATTTAACTGAACAACTATATGCAGCGGTTGGGGTATGAAGGAGCTCACTCAACTCTGCACTCAATGGCGAGCTGTACAATTTGTGGACATTCACGCCATTCATACGAACTTATAGCTCAGGTCGTTTTACTTCAGCTGCATATATTGAGTATCTATGGTGAAACTTCATAGGCATCACGGAACTAAATCCAGAAATGTGAAACATTTGGAGTTGTAGGATCTTGTAGGCGGAAATGTTGTTTGGCACAAAAAACACAAAGGGAACACGTATAAGAGAGGGCATCTCCCACTGTCTACAAGTATATTTCCTAACCCACTTAATTGATTTAAAAGAAATCTATTACTTCTGAGGTTGTTGTTGGGGGCGGGGGGGGCACACACTAAAACTTAACTACAGAATTTAATTAATTTTGTATCGGTACAAGCCTATCTGTACTTTACATTAAACTAAAATCATACATTACTGATTATCTCAAAACATATTCGTTTAATAAATTAGATCTACAAATCTACAACTTTCTTTTAAGAAATCTTCGGATATCGTTAATATTTAATTAAACAGAAGTCAGAACATTTTCTCTGCTCAGTGTCATATGCTTATACATATTTTTCTTTTCTCTATGGTTCTACAGCCCTTTTGACCTTGGCCGCTTTTTCAGTCTCCTGATCCTATACACAGTCGGTAGGACTCCTTGGACGTGGGATCAGTCCTCGCAATGTCGCTGCCTACACACAGGATAACGCAAAAAATAAAAAATAAAAATAAACGCACATAGGCGTCCATGCCTCGAGTGGGATTGAAACCCACGGCCCCAGTGTTCGAGCGGCCGAAGACAGTTCATGCCTCAGAGCGCGCGGCCACTGTGATCAGTATTTGTTTATGTACAAAATAAAATTAATTTGTTCAATTATTTTTTATTGTATGTTGGAGAACGCTTCTTGGCAACAGCAGCTTCACTGCATGTAGCTGAACTGCCTCTGCACTACTAAGTGGTACTTATGTGGGCATATGTCAGTAGGTGGCTATCAGCTTCAGATGTCAGTGCATGTACTCACAATTGCTGGGAGCCTAATGCTGGGCAGGACCGGGTCACTGCATGACCTCTGTCCGTGTACGCGGCCTGCCCCCACGCCCACTCCAACAGGAGGCTGTTCCGTCTGCGGGACTCCAGTTGGAGTGGCAATGTAGGGTTGCCCGCAGAAGGGGCAGGCGGCCCTTAGTCGGGGCCCTGGCTGCTGGTGGTGATGTATAGTCACTCTGCATGCTGTGCAGGTTGTCACATGCTCTTCTTCAGCCGCGGTCCCTGTCTCGCCGACATCACGGTTTTTCCCTGGCCTCCCGTAGACAGAAACTTCTCGGTGCTGACCGTGGCGCTGAAACGTAAAAACCACTATTTTCGCAACGCAAGACACACTTGGTCCCTCATTGCCACTTATTTCTAACTATATCTGTCCAAAGAAATCAGTTTGCAAAACATGTGGATCGGTAACTTTCACTCTGAGTAAAACATCTTTTATGAATGAATGAATTTGTTAATTAATTCATTTATTATTTATTAGTTTCGTGGGCTGGGGTGAGACCGAGCCCACTTGGCACGTCGGCCACTGATTGGCATATTGTACCAGCCCCGGGTAATGGATGAGAGTTGGGCATTTGGTAAATGAGAATTCGCAAGGAAAACCGAATTACTTGAAAAAAAACCTGCCCTACTTCCACTTCGTCGACCACAAATCCCGCATGACCTGACCCAGGTTCGATCTCGGGCCGCAGGCGACTAACCGCCTGAGCTATGTCATGACCTTTGTAACACGCTTAATGTAAGGAGAAGAACGGGAAAGGAAAATAAAGAAAAAACAGAATAAACTAAAAGGGTGGGAGGAAAGGATACGTGTAGAAAGAAATAACGGAAGGAATGGAACAAAGGGTAGACGAATAAAGCTCGGCTCCATATAATCTGCCTTACTGACAGCGTTGTTAAATAGACTACAAATGACAGAAGAAAGAAAGAGAAAGGAAGAGGGCGAAGAAAGAAGAAGAAAGGAACGAAGGCAGAAGATAAATATATAGCGTAAGAAGATAAGATTAAATGACTGTTTTCACGCATTTCTACTCTTCAAAGTACACTCATTTCTTCCCTTTTCAGATTATCCTAGACATGCTGGTCTATTTCCTTGCTGATGGGCCTATGCATGCCGCAGTATTCTCTTCTAACTCCAGAACGAAAAAAAAAGTTTTACATGGAACTACTTCTGCTGAATGAACCAAAGGCTAAGGCATTAATTTTTCAATCGTTCTTGCGAATCCGAGACTAGTGGGCTGGTATATTATCTTCTTTTTCTTTCCCTGTGGGTGTTTCTTGCATCCCGTTTCCTTATCTCCTTGTAGTTGGTTGAGAGTCTATGCTAGAAGCCGGAAGGTCGCGGTTTCAAGTCCCGATGAGGTCAATGGATTTTTTTCAATTGACCTAATCCTTCCAGCCGCACTATAGGCCTGGGGTCGACTCAACCTCTAACATAAATGAGTACCAGAAATATTCTTGAAATGTTCTTGGGGGTAAAGGGAGGCCGGCGCGTAGGACTGGCAACTTTGCCGCCATCTATCAGCCAATTGTCTAGAAAATGTGGGAACCTCAACATCTCACAACCCTATGGGCCTCCACGGCCTGTTACAGGGATAGCTTTACTTACTTTTACTTCACTTTAATTTCCCATGTGTACATTAACTCACCTCCATCGAGTGTCGAGATCAAGGCGGACAGAGCTATACATCCACTTCCTGGCATAGTGCTCAAGTACACAATTAAATACAAGGGATCTACCTACCTACCTACCTACCTACGCACCCACCTACACGTATCTATCTGTAGTTTTATAGCCCTTCTGGACTTTGGCTCCTTTTTCAGTTTTTTATTTATACACAGTCGGTAGGACTCCTTGGACGGGGTAGCAGCCCGCCACAAGGCCGCTACCTACACACAGAACAACACAAACACAATAAGAGCACACAGGCATATATGCCTCGAGTGGGGCTCGAACCCACGATCCCAGTGTTCGAGTTAGAGAAGACAGTTCATGCCTTAGACCAGTGTTCCGCAATCGGTGTGCCGCGGCACAAGGTGAAAGGTGTGACGCGAACTTTTACTATTGTAAGAAATTGTCTTGTTTTATTCGTTTTATTTTATCCCAGTTACCGTGTTTCATATGCTTGTATTTTATTCTCAGCCACTGCACTGTTTAAATAAGATGATGCTTCTTTATTCTTCATTACATGCCGTGATTTTTTATGCACAGTAATGTTCTATTCTAAGAAATTAAACGTAAATTATTTACTCACAGTTGTTGTTATATCATAGTTTTCATTATTGATTTATTTTTATTTTTCTAGCATCTACGCAGCTTCTTTGATATACTTGCCGCGTGTTCTGTGTACGTGCATTTCCCGAAAACTGCAGGGATTAGCATGGGTTTCCCTGTCTTTTATAACGCTATTTTGGTATTTGCCCCTGTTTGTTAGAAGTTAGAGCTTCTTCAACTTTATGACTTTCTTCCTGAAACGATGCACCCACCGATTGTGGACTTCATTTAAAATTATAAATATTTCAAAAATAAGTCGGTATAGTGTCACATCTTCCGTTTGAAGAGTAGAGGTCCCGCGCCTTACAATTGTTTCAATTCTATCACAGCTGTGCTCTGAAGTGGTTCGAAAATTGTGGTTGCTAGTTAGTCTTGCTATTTTCTATTAATATTAGACTACTTTATTTTTCCAAGATGGATAAATTCCTTATACGGAGTGTTTCGTCCGCGAGTGCAAGTAGTGAAAGCATTGAGCCCGAAAAGGAAACAAGAATTAATACACCGACTGTATAGTGATAATTACTTATCTTACGGGTTTCTTTGGTGTGGTGATAAAACGTGCCCAATCCCCGAGTGTATCGTTTGCGGTGAAAAACTCAGTAATGCTGCTATGGTTCCCAGTAAATTGAAACGACATTGTCAACAAAACAGTCTTCTCTATCAAGCAAAGGTGTCAATTATTTTCGTCTCTTGTTGGAACAAAACAAAAAACAGAGAACGTTGATGACTGCGACAGTACGTGTGTCAGAGAAAGTACAGGCAGCAAGTTATAAGGTAGCTGAAGTTATCGTAAAGGCCAGAAAACCACACACAATAGCTGAAACGTTGTTAATGCCTGCTTGTAAAGAGATGGTGAAAATAGTCCAGGGTTCAGAAGCTGCTAGTGAAATTTCAACAATTCCTCTCTCTGCTGACACAAGCAGTCGCCGAGTGATTGACATGTCCAGTGACATTGAAGCCATTATGAAGGAGAAAATCAACAGCAGTCAGAAGTTCTCGCTTCAGATCGACGAGTCCAGCGATATTAGCGGCTACGCACAACTTCTTGCTTACATTCGATACATCGATGGAGATGTAATTGCAACAAATTTCTTTCTTTGCAAAGAACTTCCCGAGCGAGCCACCGGTGAAGAAGTATTTCGTGTCACTAGTAAATATGTGTTACATAATGAATTAAAATGGAAGGATTGCGTTAGTGTTTGTACAGACGGAGCCGCTTCTATGACAGGCCGTGTTAAAGGGTTTGTAGCTAAAGTACGCGAAGTAAATGCTAACATACGATGCGATCATTGTCTCATTCACCGCGAAGCCATTGTTGCTAAGTCTTTGCCATCTTCTCTGAAAGTTGTGCTGGACGAAGTAGTAAAAGTCGTGAACCTCATCAAATCGCGGCCCCTCAATTCGCGGCTTTTTTCCGTTTTGTGTCAGGAAATGGAATCAGAACACACTGCACTCCTACTACATACAGAAGTACGGTGGGTATCACGAGGAAAAGTGTTAACGCGAATATTTGAACTTAATGAGGAGGTACGTGCATTTTTGTCTGTTGAGCGGCATGAGTACGCAGATTTATTTGCAGATGATGAATGGATATGTAAGTTGACATATCTTCCGATATTTTCGTACACTTGAATGAGCTGAACAGAAAGATGCAAGGTAGGAACGAAAATAAACTAATGTGGATAAGGTATAAGGAATTGTAAATGAACTGAATCTGTGGATACAGAGAATTACAGATGGGCCGTTTGAGATGTTCCCGACCGTATGGCCACTTGCTGACGGCAATAAAGTGGTGATGGACACAATTAAAGAACATTTAGAAATGCTGCAGCAGAAATTCAATAAGTATTTTGGGGAGAGAGTACAAGATTTCGACTGGCTTCGTGATCCATTCGTTGCGAATTCAGAACATCTTCCGATTAATATACAAGAGGAACTCGCAGATTCAAAAGCAGACAGAACATTGAAACTAAAACTTCTCGAAGTGCCTTTGGGTACGTTTTGGTTGGCAACAAGGAGTGGATACCCGACTATCTCCGAGATGGCAGTTAATATGTTATTGCCATTTTCAACTACATATTTGTGTTAACTGGTCTTCTCGACGTTAACTGAAATTAAGACATCAAAGAGGGAACGGCTCAAATCATCGATGAAGAAATGAGACTTCCGTTGTCAACGATTCCACCACGGATCAGTCGCCTGTGTGCAGCTGCGCAGGCGCAAGTATCACATTGAAGTTATGAGTAGAATTACTGTATTTACTTTAATAGTAATAGAAATGTATTTTCTACACTCTACAGTGAATTAAAGTTCATTAATTGTTAATAAATGCACGAGACGATTTCTGTTTAATGATAATAAAATAACAATATGGTAATATTATAGTAAAAATTGATCATGTTAAGTATTTATATTAATTGTCTGATATCGTGCGTTCTTGAGGGGGTAACATTTTGGTGTGCCGTGTTGAGTCATGGATACATCATGGTGTGCCGCGAGTAGAAAAAGTTTGCGGAACGCTGCCTTAGACCGCACGTCGAAAATATAAGGGATAATTGTACCTTTTACGTCTTACAGTGTATTATTTATTGTCCATTACATTGTTCCATATTGTTGTGCAATATTAATTCAAGTTCAATTACGGCATCACTCGCTGAAGTCTGGCTATAAGATATATTTTACAGAATCTGTCGTTTATTTGCCAGCCTTCGATCTGATGAAGGAGAACTTTATTTAATGAGGCTACAGAATAGAAAAGCTTCCATTTTACTTGAAGACTGAGATGTCCTGAAATTATGCATATATTTCGTCCAGACAGTGACCAACTTACGAAGAAGATTCTCCCGCAATATTTCAGAGATCGTACGTTTAATTAACCCGTGAAATTCAGTTTCGGTGATCGAGATGACTGGAAAGTTGAAAGGCTGTTATTCTGTTTCAGGCGAGAACATGAAGTGCACACAAATTACGGCCAGGACACATCAACAGAATAGACAGTTTCGGTAGTACAGAAATAAATGAGAGAATAAAATTAAAAGTCCTACCCGAGGAATAAAGCCTTATCGCGGAAAATGGGTTTGCGCGCCCAAGTGACCTTGAGAGCTATGCTGGCGGGAGTGTAAACTCCTGGTAGTGACACCCATGTGAGACAGGTTAAAAGGTAGGGGCCGGACGAATTGTAGTCCCTGGACTTCCAGGTTGGGTGATGGGACTGGGGCTAATGACAACACCCAGGAAAAATTTACTGCTACGAAACCACACAGGAGGCCAAAACTCACACAGGTTATAACACCAGCAAAGCAAAGAAGAAAATTAAAACTCTTCATGAGAAAATAGTTTGTGAAGCGGGAATAAACTAACTCAGTGTACGACTAAAATTTTTTCTTATAGTTGTAAAAAATATATTATTTCCTTAGTAGAAAATGTCTCGATCATCAGAATAAATTAACCTATTATCTCCCAATTGAAGATTATGAGCAAATGATTTATTATTCAGTATCTTTTAGTCATTTCTAAAAATCTTACCGCATCAGTATCGACGTCTTCGACATCGTCATCCGAAGAACTCCTGAACGTGTTCCTGAACCTCTCCCATACCCACGACATAGGTACAGAACTACAGTTCGTCGGCACTTCTCAGCCCTACCTGATCAATCCTAACATTCCGGGCTTAATGTACTCACAAGAATTCTTGTTGTGTGTTATTAACCACAGGCTGATCTGTTCAGCAACAAAAGAAATTCCTATGCATCTACACACTTCGTCATACGCATTCATTGAACTCGTTTGTTTCAATACATTTTCTAGTTGTATATAGTAATTGATTGCTTTTATTGTTCTCAATTAATATTATCATTTTGGTAGTTCATAAAACCTCCAAATTTAAACACAGCATCTCCAGAGCGGAGAGTTTAGGGTTGCAGAGTTTAGACTACTATTTCTGTATGATTATGACACACAATGGGGCACTGTCTGAGTGATACTGTTCAGCTGTAGGTTTCTTTTGTTTCCTCTTGACTTTAACAAAAGATGTCATTTAAAAATAATTATTATATTACAGTCGATGAGTAGGAATTCTAGATATTATTATAATTCTCTTTAAGTTCAACGATTCTCTCACCCTGCTAACAATTATATTCGAATCTAGTGGTTTCTGTTACAGATGCAAGAAGTGACTTTTATAAAACTGTTTCTTTCAATGAGGAACACACGCTCTACATCACAAACACACGCTCGCGTAATCCCTAGCAATGCAAAGTTTGCGAACTGGGCTACAGCGCCCGACTTTCGCGGTGGAGGAACATCTGGACACAACTGCCTACTCGTGCCTACTAGTCATTCCGTGGACAGGTATGCGGACACGCTATCCCCTCCCCTGTGATGGATATTGATCCAGCGCCTCGCCACCTTCCTGTTCCCTTCAGCCCTCGGTAAAGGTCATTTCTCCCACACGCAATCAAGTGTCCGCCGCTTTACTCTCACTAATGGCCACATTAAGGTAACATCACTTTATGGAGATCCATCAAACTTCTTCTGGTGTTTAAACTAATAGTACATCAAATAAAATGAAGATTAAAGTATAAGAAATATAATTCGAATTACGAGCATTATTATTGTCTCCGCCAAGATTCATTCAAGGGGGAAGGCCCAGAAAATTTGGTTATAGACTTCATTTATTTCATACAGTCCATTTCCGTCTACAATGCAGTTTTTTTTATTGACTCCGTTCATTCTCAAAACAGGTTTCGGCCGTACGTGGCTGATATCAGATGTTTCTGATTCGCTAAAATTGTTACACACTATGGTATGTCCATCTTATATCACATGTGAAACGCAAAATAAATGGATTCTCAAATACCTGTACAATATTACAAACCCATATAGGAACATCTTTACAGACCATCCTAAAGAGGAAAAAAGCGTTCGTCACAGACTGTGTTTGAGCTCTCCCAAATATTAATTCTTCTTATTAATAATTGATAAAAGGTAAAGTTGTCACTGTGCTCAACGAATTAAATCATTACGCCAGGAAGGCGTATGGGGGAGTAGAAGTATAGTTCCACATTTCCTTGACCTCGGCACTAGCTGGAGGTGAGTGGTCAGCTTCACGCTTCTGCCGCGTTACACTCGGGGAAAGAGCACCCGGTACCCATTGGATAGGAGGATGGATGAACCCCTCAGCCGGTCTGAACGATTTGCAGACGAGAAAATTTCTTACCCTGCCGGGACTCGAACTCCGACCCCTCAGTTGTCGAGCCCGTAGCGAGTCGTTATACCGACTACGCTACCCCGGCTCCTCATTAATAATTGGTATAGCTTCTTTATTTTCATTTTGTTTTAAATCCAGGGAGAACTGAAATGCCTAACGTGCCCCTTAGGAGTTCCTCCAGGATGATGTAACGTCTTAGAGTCGGAAGACGCTCTGTGAACAGTTTGCGACATGTAAGATTTGAGATTTTCACAACGGTGACTATGAAGATTGCCCTTTTTTTGGATGTGGCGCCCCGTAGAACTTGAGTGCACCGACGTTTCGGAGGGACGTATCGCCTCCGTCTTCAGGGTTGAAAAATCCGCGAGCGAGAAACCAGCGTGAGCAGGTAGCAGGTTTGACAATTACGACAAGATGTTGGTACCCCTGACTGACCAGCGCTATGAACCGTGGCCGGGAGCAGCGATAGGATTGCCACTGCCAGGTCCACTCCTGCTGCTCGCAGTCCATCACTTCACGGCGCCTTCACCTGGCCTGCGCCTACCGCCATCGCCTGAATCAGGAAAACAGAAATATCAGTTTGGGGAGTAAGCTGAGAGCTAGATGCCATCGTCACAAGGAATGGCAATGATGCAGCTGTTATGAGACGTCAGATCACAGCTTGAAACTCCCTTTATTAAAGGAGAGACACATGCTGGCCGCAGCAGAAAAGAAAAACAAGTTAAACGTCCCTGCTGGGGTTCAGATTTCTGCCCGACAAGTCCAGTTCATTGAGTGTCTGGTTATTTTAACGACGTTTTCGCAATTTGTAGGTTATATAGTTCCGCATGATGGGATGACTGAAAGATAAGTTAGAGACGTGTACGGATGGAGGCGTTCATTGCCTGTTTTATGGTACTATCCCAGCATTACCTGGAGGGACTGAGGAGAGTCACAAAAGACCTCAATCGTGATAACAGAGATTAGTGTACAGAACTTAGCGACTAAGAAATATAAATACCAGTTGCTCACCTCGACGAATGGTTGAAACCTAAAATTAAAGTACCATTTGAAACTTTAATGACGAATAAATCCGTTATAATTTCCTCGGAACATGGGCCACGTCATGGCTGAGCTGAAGTCCAACTTTTCGGGGCCTTGCTCTGATTTCTTCATCCTCATCGGTGTCAATGGCTGGTCACCTTAGCAGATTTTAGTGAACACCATAGTGTTTGCTTGCATGCCTAAGTACCAACACGTGATGCGTTTAGGGGATTTCCTGCACTTTATGTCTGTTCACTAATTTATTTGGAAACGAAGACTGTTTCACGCTCCAGTCACCTTATCCCAGGAAATACTGGCTCTCAGTACAACACATGAAATTAGTTCACCCTCGGATGCATGAAGCACTTGCAGCTAGAGGAAAATGAGTACTCCTACCGGGAATCGAATTTTAGAAGCTAAGGCTTTGGTTGTTGTATTTACCTCTGAATATTCTAAAGCATTGTAACATAATGCTATTAAGTTATTTGTTTGTTTACTCAAGTGCAGGAAGAATATTATGCAGTAAGTACAACCAGAAAAAGGAAAAAACATAGAAATACATTGGAACAAAAACAAAACAAGGCAACATGTATAATTTAGACAATAGAAATTCAATAAACGTAATCGCAAGAATCATTATGCGCCGAGAGACTCTTTGCATATATATATATATATATATATATATATATTCATGTTGAGTGCCATTAATATCTTAATAATTAAGAAAGAAGGAAAGAAACGGTTTCGGTTTCAAATACGTAAACGTGCCTACAAACACATTATAAGCCGAATAACAACAACAATAATCACAGGACTTTCAGTCACGCTAGCCGTTGTAATCTGATCCCAAGCGCGGACCGGAAGCCCTTGGTACTCCTTGCGGATTGCATGACGTAGAGGTCACCCCACTGACCGACACTCCCACAGCAAGGTGAAGGATTTTCCAGAAAATCAAGTGATTACGATGGGAAATCAAGCCCTTGTGACCTGGGGGCAGCGTGATGGTAATGGTGACATTAACCAGCAAGTGTTTGGTTCTGATTAATCTATAGTGACTAAATTAAAAAGAATGGTACAAAGGCCAGAAGTAGTAGCAGTACAAGGACTTAGTCCCACCCCACTAGCAAAAAATTAAAAAAAAATCTGTTTGACCCTCAATGACGCATGCATTTGAATGTTGGGATCGCGTGATCGAATCCATGGATATATATCCGCGACTCTTTGTGTTTTACCGTTGCTGGAGCCTTGTGACTAGCTGCCTACATCAGCGCCTGAAGAATGTAGGATTAGTTATGGTCAGAACTGTCCACAAGGCTTAATCTGTGACAGAAGAAAAATACGCGTACACATATATGTCCCCCTTGCTATATACATTGTATGCGCATGAGACTAGTCTACGGAAAGACTATAGTGATTGGAGAAGGCTAGCGTAGCGGTAAAACTGTACAGCTTTTGTTCCTGAGGTACTGGGTTCAGTTCTCGCATCAGATGTTAGATGTCGTGAATCAGATTATTTTGCTTCCTTACATTATTTCCTGACTTTAAATAGTCAGGTACGCTTTCCTACAAATCCTCACCTATTCATTAGTCATAATCATCTCCCCAAGGTCCAGTGACTGGGGTTATATCTTCTAACGGACCCTACAAGGTAGGTGTCTCCGTCCGTCACCTGAGGAAGAGACAGTCCCAGCTTCCAAAATGTAGTGTTGTTATGCGCTTTTTCTAATACCAGGCGATGGATAAAGTTAAGAACCCCGGCAATCCTCAGTGACTGAGGTCAGCTCTTTTTAACGGACCCAACTGAGTAGGTGCCTCTCACCCTCTCACCCGACGACGGAGACGGAACTAGTTTCCGAAATGTTTTGCTGATTATAATACTGAACTCCTCTTCTCGTGGTGAGTGAGTTTGAGTATGCCGAGGACCCTGAGAGCTATACCAGCGGTAGCGTAGCTTCTAGCAGGGCCTCCCTTGCTGGACAGGTCAAAGGGTAGGCATCAGACGAAGAGAGACACCGAAAACTGATGCCGGAAGCAGCGTCATCAGCAGCGACTTGAAGCACAGAGCAAATGATGCTCGAGATGGTTCAAGTTCGTATAGCAACAGGCGTGACCAGAGTGGTTTGAACGGCTGCTGTACTGCGATGTGGAAAGCAAATGGAAAAAGTACCACATTATCACTTTTCCTGGATAGCTTCTTTCCAAAAACAGAAGATCGCATTAAGTGGAGGAACTGTTTTGGAAGAGACTGTGGACCTGTCGCCTGACAGATTAATGATGAATGAATGAATTACTGAACTATAGATAAAGCCAAAAAAATCCAGTGGTCGCAAATCTTCCTCTATTATTCGACGCTATATAACAGCCGAATATGAAACAGCGTTGTTAAATATCTTAAATATGTAATCAATGACATTGACTGAAGATCTCTGGGAAAAATTAGCATCCAGCAGAAGTGATGTATCATGGGACTGGAGAAGATTACATAGCGACAAGTGTTATGCAATTCCTCTTAACATGATGCTCTTACAGTAATTGTCTGGGGTGTGAAAGATTGGCAGGGTTTACAGCACTCCTGATGTAATAAGAAATGTCTCTACTTCGGTTTATCATTTCTCTCCGTAACGTCGGTTTACTCAATTTATCGTGATCGGTAACTTAGACGTTTCAACTTTAGTAGCGGCAACACGAGGGGCACGCGGTAGCATAGTTGGTTCAGAAACTATGCTACAAGCTGGAAGGTAGCGGGTTCCATTCCCGATGAGGTAGTTGGACTTTTCAATTGACCTAATCCTTCAAACCGCACTATGATCCTGGGGTGAACTCAGTCTCTAACAGAAATGAGTACCAGGAATTTTCCTTGGAGGGAAAGGGCGGCGGGCGCGTGAGGCTGACAACCTCACTGCCATCTGTGAGCAGATTGTCTGGAGAAGATGTGGGAATCTCAACGTCCCACAAGCCTATGGGCCTTCACGGCCTGTTACAGGGATACCTTTACCTTTACTTTCTTAGAGGCAGTGCAAATTTCGATCGGGAAATGTGAAGAGAAGACATCGCTCAAGAAACCTAGCCATAAATTGGAAGATAATA